GGCGAAGCTATCGAACGGGGTGGTATGTGGGTCAACCAGTGACGCGTCTCCCGCGAGTCCGAGGACGGAGGCTCGCTGACACGCTGCAGCCAAGTTCTGGTCGGAGAATTGTTGGAGTCTAAACACCATCGATTGTTTGAGGATGGGGCATGGGGATGTATGAAGGAGAGAGGGAAAGAGAGCGGTCAACGGTGAGAGTCGTTGGACTCCGAGGCCGTGATAGCGGTTCGGGCCGTGGCGGCCGGCGCGCTTGGGCCTTACATAAGCCCATCGCAACGGGCGTCATCGCGCCGACTGATGGGATTTGGGCGGGTCCAAGTGAAACACTTCCACCTGAAATGGAGGCAGGTCTTTGAAGATGCAGTGTTAAATGTGAAAGGATCTTCGCTGCACCAGTGTCACTTGCAGTACTCCCGGTAGGCTTCGTGCCCAGAATTCATTTGGTCATGCCGCATGATGCGTGTCCCGTCCGACAAGATCCGGAAGGAAGTTCCGTGTGCGCCCCCGCCGTTCGTTGGAAGCCGGAGTTGCTGCGGCAACTGTCCGGTCGTCGTGGCCACGACACAGAAGGAGGCCACGGCCGCACTCAGCGCGCCCACCACTCCCAATGCTCGGGCCAATCGATAGACGTGAAGCGGGGTGGGGAGTTGAAAACTGAGCACAAGATACTTGACCACGGAGTTACCGGCGAAAACAAACCACGACCACGAGTGGAGAAAATACGACGATGCGATTGGGTACGTCGATATCCTAGCACAATCGGCTTTAAGAAAGTGTCCACAGAAGAGGAGAACCCAATGGAGCCTGCAAAGCATATCACAAGCACTCATGAAAGATAACGAATTCAGGGTATCGTCGATGAGAAAATGGCATTAAAGGGTACGACGACGACGGAGAAGAGGGAATCGAAGTCGGAGAGGAAAAGCACGGGGCGCGGGATGAGGGGGACAACTCCCAGGGTGATGTGGATTACGGGGATGAATATACGGACGACGAGGCAAAGCCGGAGCACGAATGACGAGACGATGAGCACGAAACCGAAACGGCTTCGATGTCAATGTGTCCGTTTGGACTTGACGGGTATTATGCATCGCTGGCGACGCACGATAGAATCTGAAATATGCAAGTTAACAAGCCTTGATCGTGGGTTGAAATCCGTGTCGTGACCACCCACCATAGCGTGCGGCGTGCCTAGCACCCCTTGCCCTTCACGGGGTTCACGTACCCCGCCACTCCCTCGTACGTGTACCCCAGCGACGCCACCGCCTTGTTCTTCTCGTTCAAGTTCGTCGTGTAGAAGTGGTCCACCGCCGACTTCGAGTACATCCGGTACAGAGGCACGCTCCCGCACTTCGCGGTCGGATACACGTACGCCGCGATGCCCTCGCTCGCGAACCGAGCTTCGACAACGCGTTGCTGCGCTCCGACGCGCTCGTGGTGTAGAAGTGGTCCGTGCCCTTCGAGCTGTAGAGCCGGTAGAGCGGAACCGTGCCGGCGACCTTGGCGTGGAAGGCTTGAGCGGCCGTCCCCTCGTTGGCGTACCCGAGCGAGGCGACGGCGTGGTCGTGCTCCGATTTGGACGCCGTGTAGAAGTGGTCGGTGGCGGCCTTGCTGTAGGCGCGGTAGAGCGGCACGGTGCTGTCGCAGCACTCGGGGTGCGCGGGAGCAGTGGGCTGGAGAGGGCCATGTCAGCTGAAGCGATCGGAGAGAGGGTGATGAACGCACATGAGGCCGAGCACTGCTGGTGTGGTGCACGCTGGTCGGGTGGGCAGAAGTGTGATGGACACTGCTCGGATGAGCAGAAGTGTGGTGGACACTGCTGGAATGCGGCTTGGCCGAGGTATGCGCGCTGCTGGAATGCGGCGTGACCGAGGGATGGGCGCTGCTGGAATGCGCGGAAGAGGAGAGAGGAATGCTAGAGTACGAGGAGTACGAGGAGTACGGCAAAGAAGTACTCAAGGGGTACTCGGAGGAGGGGAGATCGCTGCCAGAGTACGGGTAAGAAGGAATCGCACTGCTGGAGTACGGGGAAGAGGGAAGGGCATGAACGGAGAAAGCAAGGGCAGAAAGAACAAGGGCGACGAAGAAGACTTCATGGCGAAGTGAAGATGCTGGAGGAGACTGGAGAGGCTGGAGAGGAGACTGAAGTAGCTGGCTGCCACTGAGTGAGGTCTCTGCGACTTGACGAGCCTTTTAACCAACGGTGAGACGCCAGAAGACGTGCCTACCATTATCCGTGTCCTGGTTAGAAACCATTAATGATGTCTCTTGTATACTGCTAGAAGTGTGTCGGAGTGGCAAGCAGAAGAGAAGATATTGGAGCGTCAATTAGCGAGACGGCAAGAATGCGCCGTACAGACGACGCAGTCCAAACCACTTCTGGTGTTCGGATTGACAGCGGATATGAAGTGACGAGACGCTTACTTTCACATCGTGGCGAGGCTGGTGAGACCTTGAGGAGCGGTACAGAATTCGCTGGCGGTTCGGAGGTGCTTACCTAATCAACCCATGTGATGTTCGTCGCTGCAAATGTGAACGCTTGATCAAGCGCCCTCCCCTGCTCTTAGCTGCTCCCTAACGTTACTAGCCTTCGTGGGACGCGACATCGCTCGCTACGCAATGCTAGCAACGTGCGCTATTCTGGACTACAGCACTCGTACATGCAGACGGTAGAGACAGAAATGCGAGATGATGCACCTTGAACCAAGTGGGGCAGCAGTGCGCGGACTCCAGAAGTTGACCAGAACGCGGAACGAGTGGTCGGCGAAGCGCGTCTGTCATATAATGTTGAAATTCAAACTATACACGTGACTAGACCACCCAGAAAGGTGTTCGCTGAATTACTCAGCTACGCCAGACCTGATTGACACCAAACTCGGCCAGAGTGCTTAATTGCATACCAGAAACATGTTTTGATTGTTATACATGCAATAAGTACACGTGTGTGCGGTGGGGGAGGGGATTAGAGGAGCCACCGTCCTATTGGAGTGTAAGCGCCGAATGTAACATTTGTTCTTGTTTGGCTCCCCTGTTCACGCCCTAAGCACTGAATTGCTCGCTGCGCTCGCAATCATTTATGCCTCCTTCCGCCCGTGCTCCTCTCAATCGTCACCGCAAGGCCACGGTGGCTCTAAATAAATGTTTGTAGCAAGCATCCCGTCAATGATTGTCGCGCCGCCACGCTTGGAGTGTCTCAAGCTCTCGCGCGGCTTCTGTGTTAGAGTTCTGCCCTGGATACGGGCTTTTTCTCCTGTGTAGTGCTGCTGCCGTGGTTGCGGTTTCTCAAGTAAGTCCTCACCTCTTTTTGCTTTCGCATCTTCCAGTTCCCCATCACTCTTCCAGCCCGCTAAAGTACGTCGCGTTCGCGCTGTCTGTCTGCGCCCACTGCAAAATTCCTTTTCCCCTTCCCCGCATCGCCCTCTGCGGCCATCCCTCTCGTGTTCACCCCAAGGCACTGGAGTTTGTGTTTGACCTGCTCCGTCTGCGTAGAGTCTTCAATCGGGACAGCCGCATTTCCGAACGGCACCCCTTTGGCCACGTGAACCCATGACCAAGGAACCTATGTCAAGTGTCGCCACGCCACGGTTTAGGTTAGTGGACACCTCCTTACTATCGTTACTCAACACTCACGATCGACATAGAGAGCGCACATCCGTCGCGCTCGATATGACAACCACACTGTATGGAGTCAAGGTTACCCATCTCCTGCGTCTCATCTCATGTATTATCATCCCCGTTCGACTTTTCAATCATCCAATCGTGACAGCGGTGCACGCCCTCCACAAGTCGCCCATCTTCTCGGTCTATCACATGCAACGATATCCCCCCGACAGGTCCGCGAACCTCACCTTGCCTTGTAACTTCGGGTGCGCTTCCGGACCCACCTCACTGTTTGGTCCCGCTTAGAGCTGGCCGTAGACGACTTCGACACGATTACCACCGCTTTCACGAACCACTGTCCCGCACCTCCCAACATACCACTCAGATGCATCAACTCCCGGTGACATACGCCCCACCTCCTCCATTTTGGCGTCGTCACCTACCGGGCGACAACGCTCTCATCTGCTCCGAGCCATTGAAGGAGCTTTCCTTCGTTCGTGAACAGCGATGGGCGACTCGCGCTCCGAACGGTCGTTAGCACTGTCCGAATCAACCTTGGGCGATGCCGGCCAAGCGGACAAACGACAGCGAACAGAGTTACTATTGGGTATTTCTCCCCGGGCAAGGCGACCCGGCGCGTGGTGCCTCTGGTTGCGGGACGCGGTATGTGACGTCACTCACATCTTCGCGCCCTCGTGCAGCGCTGATAACTTCCGTGCACGGGTAGCCCCGATGGTGCTCTGACGTTGTCCCATCGAGAGACTCATGGGCCGGCGCAGTGCGCGCGTTGATCACGCAGCGGCTGTTATCAGGGCCTGCGCCAGCGCGCAGGGAGGTGTTGTTCGCTCGATACCTGCCTTTGTTAACGAGGGTCCGCGGATCATGTGCGTGGTGCGTGCGGGCTGGTGTTGGCACAAGCACCAGCACGGAGAAAGTATAGGGTGTTACGTGCGAGGCGCTAATACTGACGCAATTGCACAGACACAGCACCAATGGGCACGGAACGCCCAATGTCTAGTTACTTTTCTTGTCGTCAGACAAATATTCACTGCTTAAAATCCATCCTGCTACACAACGTTCCATCTCAGCGCTTTGTAAATGCACCGTCAGGATACATTTTGTGCTTTTCCGGACCGCGCGGGGGTACAACGTACAACGTAATGGTAAACTGAGCTATATCTACTATCGCCGCCCACGCTCACGCTTGCTATCGGTCATGACCAACGCGTGCGCTTCCTTAAGCCGCACAATGGCTGTCAATGCAGATAGGCTCCCGAACCAGACGTGGGCATAGATAATTAAGGTTCCCATCTGAATCGCGGCGATCGTCCTCCCCCTTCCTCAGACCTTCAACATACGAAGACACTCACCCAGCCTACAGGTCACGCATCAGGCCACAGATGACTCCCCCACATGTACCCATCGACGTGATCGAGACTGTGCTCGACGAGTTCGGCGCTCAAGACGACTTGGGGACGCTCACTGTCTGTGCCCTGGTCTGCGGAGCATGGTTTCCACGGAGCCGCTTCCTCATTTGGCGTACGGTGACGATCACAAGCACAGATACCCTCTACTCTATCTGCAAAACGCTTCAGCGCGATCCCGACTTGCGACTGGTAATCCATGCGGTACGGCTGAAACATATCCACTCCAAGTCGTTCCCCCACACCGCCCCCATGGTTCTCCTTCCGTATCTTCCACACCTCCGACGATGGGATTTCCGATGGCCTTTCTCTACCATGAACCTGGCGAAGGCGACGATTGCCTGTTTTTGCCAGTACAAAGCGGTCAAGACGCTCGTCTTGCGCGACTGCCTGTTTCCCACCCCTCTGCACGTCTATCGACTCATCCACGCCTTTCCCGTTCTCGAGGATGTCCAGCTGTATGATGTCCATTTTATGGGTACTTCTCCAGATGTTTCCCTACTCCCGATTCAGCATCGAGCGTGCAGAACCCTGTCGAAACTCACAGTAAGATCTTCCTCTGAAACACGATTACCCGTCTCAAGATATCTTCACAGTTTGATCTCTCCGAAGACACCATTCAGCTTTTCAAGGTGATCGCGACGCATTCTCCTCAGTTGATCAGTCTTACTATCAGCTGCTCTGTTCTGGCTTCTCTTGAAGGTAGCTAACTCTTCTCGGGGTGCAGTTCGAGATCAACATATCTAAAATTCTCTCCATCCGCAGACGTCCCCTTTGCGAGCTTAAAGAAACTCGAATACCTCACGGTGATAGTGCATCCAAACGAATACACACACTTTCGTGATCCGACAACATGCGCAAAGTTCAAGGAATACGCGGATCAGGGGACGCTTCTTGTGTCACTTCGCTCTGTCACCTTCGTATTCCAAAGCGAAGGTTTGCATTGGTTCGCGGTCGATATGAACCACGATCAAACCGCGACCATTCTTAGCCTCACTCGGACAATCCAGAGCCATGAGAACCTCAGGAACAGCGGAATAACATGCGTGGTGGAGAACTCGACGAGAAATCTTAAGGTCAGATGGACGACATCCGTTCAACGTCTTTTCTCGCCACTGCACGAACAGGGATTGCTGACGGTGAGGTTCGCATACCCCCATTGTGAGTTCCTCGGTCTCTTTCATCCGTCTGCTTGCTAAAGACTCTGCTCTCTTAGCCGTCTTTGACGGGTCGTTCGATGTCTCCGGTTCATATGGACACCCATCCACTGCGTGGGCTCTTGTCTTCTCGCGCGATGGAAGCTGGGCAGCCACAGTTGCAGGTATCATAGTTGATTCTGATAGGAAGGGATCTATGATGATATGGAACACCCTGGCCGGCGGCGCGCCGGTTCTAGAACGGTGGTGGAGCTTTCCAGGACCTGTCCGATATAACACGCCCAACCTCGTCTTCTCCCCTTCAAGCACTCATCTACTTCACCTCACAAGTGATAACGTCCACATATCCCGCCTACCAAATCCACACGCGCTCAGTGACTTTCATGAATCGCCACACGCGCTGGGGAACATTGACGTCATGGAGTTCGGGAAGGCGCTCAGCGCAACATGGTCGCCGGACAGCCGCCGAATATACGTCCTGTTCACTTCGGGAGACGTACATGTCTGGGACGCGAGGGAGCTCAAGTACCTTCGCGCGCTCCTAGCACCGCGATCCGCCATACCCAACGACCCATCCGGGAATGTGGTGACGACGAGTTTCGCGACTTGTCGTCAAGGTCGCCATCTCCTGTCTCACGTAACCTTCTATCGCGACATCCCCGACGGAACGTTGGGGTACCTTGATTACGTTCTTGTCTGGGACATAACTTCCGGAGGATGTCATGTAGTACGCCGTGTCAATCTCCGCGATCCCCATCACCACGGACGGAGTACGCGCCAAGCCGTTCTACGGTGCAGCGAAGGCGACGACAGCTTCGACGTACTCTCAAACACCGAAGACGAGGCGCTGTTCCTCGACTCCGGGAGCGACGGCGAAGCGTCTGGCGTTGCTACCACACCTGTGCGGATCCTTGAAGAACTCCGGATAGCGGCTTTATCTTCGGACGGGCGCCGCGCTTTGTGCTTGGAGAAACCCCCATCGTACATCACGCACTCCTTCTGCGTCGTGGACACGTCTACCGGCCAGCCGCTCTCGGAAGCTCGTGAGAGAACGGGCCGCCACATCATTTACTGCGTCCAGGGCCGGGGTCTCCTATTGGGTGGGCACGACGCATCGAAGCCGCCCCACCGGAGCTACTGGAACACGGAGGACGGCACGCTTTTCTTCCTCCCTCCGATACAAAAGATGGACCCATTCACCTTTGCGGCCACGTCGGACGGATCGGTGTTCGGGTGGACTGCGTATGGTGGGCCGGTGGTATTTGAACGGGCCGCGCTCGAACGGATACCAGCAGAGAAGGATTGAAGGAACGTACGATGCTCCTGTGATATTCACCCGACTTATGCGCCTGGATTCGTGCGATATGGTTGTGTAGGATTTCGACGAGTTAGTGGCACGTACTCAGGAAAGAATGTGTCAATTTCCACTCCTACAAGCTTCGGTCGCCGCGAGATTGAGATGCACTTGGGGAGAGGACAGGAAGCCGCCAGTGCGCGGCGCGCGGTCGATCATGTGCTGAAGCTCCCTGATGTGCTTCATCGCAAGCGCGAATGTCACCGCGAGCACGCGCGGGGCCGTTTCTCTAGGCAATTCCAGTCGAGGAGTGGCTTTGGGAAGGAGAGAGGAAGCGCACCTGGGTCGTGTCACTGACCCTGGACCGCAGCGCCACCGACGCCGTCCTTTTGAAGGGCGAGGCCAGCTGAGAATTGAGCAGCACTAATGAGGAGATGGCAAGACGGAGGAAAACAGTCGGGCGCGGCGCGGCGGGTTACTGGGCGCTAGTAAGGTTTGCCTGCCGCCGGGCCAAGCGCGCAGCCTGACAATGACAACGGCTCCGCGACGCTCGTCGCTCTCCGCTGCTTTCGGCCTCTCCCTCATCGTCAATTCCTGCCTTGAGGCTTGAACACACTCCCATAGATGTTGCGCTCCCTCCTTCCCCGCCCGAAATCCTACAGCTGCTCAGCTAAAACTCGGTGACAGTGTGTCTGTGAGCATCCCTTCGACCGCGCTCTCGGAATCGCTCGCCCCTCCGCCCAGTACGCCCACCCTCCTCGTCCCAGTTCCCCAACTACATTTTGTGAAGCCCTACGCTTCCTTGAAGCTATTATTGGGCAGGGATGTGTAGACGGAGCCACTTTTGCCAAGGTTCGTTGCCTCCTCTCCGTCTCGTTGTCTACAATTTTCCGCGTCCCTTCCCATGTCTACCTTCTCCATGTTCAAAGCGGTCTTCTTGATGCAATTATATGTGCTTCAACTGCACTTTTCTCCTCGTCTTATCCTTCCGGCACGTCTTTCCCCGAGCCCGAGGCGTCGCAGTTGCTCCCACCACCCTCTCTCGCACCCTCCCCTGCCGTCATGTGAAACCCATGGCATGCGAGGTATCTCGAACAGCTTCCAGCGTGGGGACGCCGCCAATCCTTTCATCAGCTTGCCCTCTCCTCATCGTTCACTTGAGTCACCGTCGCCGCGTCACCATCGGCTTGTCAGAACATCCCGGTGGTCGCAACCTTCTGCGCAAGTCGGAGCATTCTCGAGTTCTGCTATTTGGTCGTCTCACTTCTCGAGTCGTCTATCGCGCGTCATGTCCAGGCTGGTGAACTCCCCATCCTTCTACTTCCCTATACTCACGATGAGACACTACATATGTCGCGCGATCATTCGCGCACTGTGCCTGATCTCGTGCAGGGCACCAGCCACTCGCGCTCCCCGTCCTCCGCGACGTCCTCACTACTCCCAGATTCACCCATAGCCGCGATGACCATGCCTCCCGCTGCGGTTACGTTACAGCGGCTGGCCTCCACGAGGTTCAGGTCGCCCATTCCGCCATGCCCTATCATCGACCCATATCTGCCCTTCGTGGCGCTCCCCGCGCCCGCCCTCCGCAGGCTAGCATCCTCCTAAGAGTCTACGATATCGCCCTCAGCTATGCCACCGTGACGCATCCGCTGACTCTTACCCACAGAAACCGTAACCCGCGTCAGCCAGCACGACGGACGCCATTACTCTGTCCGATCCCGCCCAGAGCGATCTCCGGGCAGCTTCCCTTTCACGATCCGCCTTCCTGCCCACACCTACACGCACCACCAAATCGCATCGGCATGCGTGCGTGGACACGCTCCTTTCTATCATGGCGACCTCGTGACCCCTGCCGGAAAAAGCTGGATGCGTTTCTCCGCGCTGGGCAGCAGCAAGAGACTTACTCCCCGGATGTCGTGGTTCTCGTTGCTGGTTGGACGCGCCCAACACCGATCACTCTGCCGGCGCTGGCCGCATCTGGGCTGGCCTTGGGAGACATCCGTCGAGTTGCAGCTACCAATGGACGAATATAAACATCACCGGCGCCCCCACGGGTGCTCGTACAATCCCCCCGTCAGCGGATATCGAGTGCGCATCAATCATCCGAGACGTTGCAGTCCCTGAAGTACACATGTTATCGTCTTCGCCTGCCGTGCGGGACTAACGTCTTCTGTGCACCGACAGCAGGGAACGCCAACGATGCTCAACTTTTTCTCTCTATATCTACACCCTGGAGGCGTCGAGCTCAACTCGGTTGGCCCTCCTCACCGCTCGAGGACCCGTGTTCTTGTCCACAGGTGCGATTACATGGACTTTCAAGTGCGGGCATAAGGCTGACAAATACGCTCGCGACAGCCAAAGCTCATCGGCATCTAGCCGACCGCGGGACTGTTTTCGCGTCCCCGTTGCCTCCTGCTTTTCGACAGCTCGCTTTTTCGTGTGCTCGCGTCATACCGGCCGCCATGCTCCCTCGCTCCACACTGCCGCGTCCCTGATCCTGATAGACGTTCGTCGTACCATCGGGATCCCCGTCGCCGCCGCGGCTACCGCGAGGTCTTCTCCAGCTTGCCAACTGTGAACGCGGGGAGGTTCAGCCAAGGGCGCCATCGATGCCGCCTTCCGGATTCGGAGGATGCGGTTATGCACGCGGTGTCGGGTAGATGTGACGCCACCCTCCGCATATATCTCCCTCTCATCTTCACTCCGTCTGTGCACGGTCCATGACAGAGCGAAAGCAGCCAAACAAAGGCACTCAAGAAAGCGGGCCGACAACCGCACCCGTGCGAGGCGCCGCCGGCGACTGGTGCGAGCGCCAACGGATGGGGAACGGTGCCCTTCCTCGTTGTCGATCGATGTCTATTCTTCTTCACCGGACACGCCGTGCGACTCTCAAGGACCCAACTGCGTCCCAGCAACGCAAGCCGCCGGACACCGCTCCCCGGGGCTGCACCCGGGCCAGTGCCTCCTGAGCCCGTCCTGGCCGCAACTATCGAACGTCGCTGTCGGCGCAGTACGCCGTAGGGTGTATGACGTCATTCCCTACTCCGTGTGTGGCACTGACGACGTGCCGACAGCAAGAACTCCGGGCACGCGCTGCTTTCGTGCACCCGATGTGCCGGGGCCGGCGACGGACCTGGATCGCGAGGTTCTGCGCAGAAGACACCGGATCTCGTCCTGTCGCCGTCTTCCGCCCCGTTCTCCAATCACAGCAGGCTCGAGGCTCGAGGGTAGGGCGTCGATACCAGCAGGTGCTGTCCCCGCATCGTTCGCCCCACGGGGGTACTATACGTCTGCCATAGTGCTTTGCCCTTGAGGGCGTTAGACGAGGAAGACAATATATACATATCCGCCTTGGGGTACTTGCTCATAACTTACCGAGAAATTTGAGAGACGTTTTGCAAAGATCACAACGTAGCTAGAACCAGATGCCTTTCTGCTGGAGTCCGCGATAGAGATTTTGAGGTCGGAGGTATTTGTTGAAGAGCGGGATCAATCGGGCCGGGACTCCTAGGTTCGGTGGGAACGTGGACGTAGCGTGACCCAGGTATCGCGCTGCTTTGCCTCCGCTATCCGATGGCACATCCCATCACGCCTTTCTCCTTTCTCTTTCGCCGCACACACAGCAACTCAGAATGTCCTCTCCATCTGTATATCCCCATCGACCCCCACCGTCCTCGATGAGATCTCGGCCGGTACCAACCGAAGTCGCTGAGAGGGTTCTCGACGACCTCGGCGTCCAGGAAGATGTCCGTACGCTCTCCACTTGCGCTCGTGTCTGCCGCTCCTGGCGTCCGAGGGCAACCTTCCATCTCTGGCGCAAAGTCACAATCAATGGCAAGGACGGCCTCGATTCCGTTCGTACAGCACTTGAGCACTCTCCTCAGTTGAGTCGGTTCATACACGCCGTCCGGCTCGAGGCCGATCGCCGCGGCGACTTTCCCCACACGGCGCTCGCAGTTCTTTTCCCCTTCATCGGATCCCGCATCACGAGTCTAGAAATGTACTCAGAACACGGTGACGGCATCCATTTCCCGAGCGCTGTGTTCTCTCGTCTCCAGCACTACACCGCACTCAAGACACTCACGGTTAACTACCAAATCTTTCCCACCCATCATCACGTCCGTCGGATTTTTCGCGCACTGCCTGCCCTCGATACACTCGAGCTATCCGAGTGGCACAACCTCAACCGTACCTTCCATGATTGGAGTTCCGTCCCTGATGAACAGCCCCGCTTGAAGAAATTTGTGGTGAGATAATCCTATCCAGACGTCTGAGTGCGAGCTGACTTGATGTGTTATGAAGATAATGACAAGGTTCTCAGAAGTTTTGTGGAACGATACCATCACAACTACGTCCACGTGGTTGACTACTCCAGGTACTTTTGCGGTTCCTGAGAGACAAGGGAGCTCTCAGCTAAATGCATTCTTCACAGCCTCCCGCCTCACAGGATTTTCGAACATCAGCTGTCTTTCCCTGGAGTTAACCGCTGAAGGATTCAACAGTTCGCTCAAAGCCACGGAGATTCAGGAACAGCTAGGGTTCAAGGGTGGAGACCTTCCAAAATCCCTGCGTTCTCTGCGGATCATTCTTCACAGCAATTTCGCATACTTATTTCACTTCGACATCGACAAGAAACACGTTGTGGATACTTCTCTTGCCCTTTCACGGCTTGTGCAAGATCACGCGAAATACCCGAACGGGAAGGGCATCACTTTCATCATCAAAAACTCGACCATGAACCTCCGTGATCATTTCCGAATGTGGATGCAGCGCCTATTGTCTTCTCTTTACAAACAGAAACTTCTCCATATAGTCTTTGAGAACGATGGTGCGCCATATTTTGCACATATGATCCTTGTTCCTTTCTCTAGACTCTGACATTGCTTTCTATTTGCAGCAACCATTACACCAGGATCATACGGCCATCCTGGCAGCGCTTATTATCTCACCGTCTCTCCAGATGGAGACTGGGCAGCCAGCAAATCACTATCAAGTATAGGCTCGCTTCG